TTTATAAGAATACTATGAGCTGTGATGCGATGTTGTCGGCTCCACCGAAGCGCTTCACAGAATGGGTCACAGGTCTGTCTGAAGGTCAATCTAAGATACGTGAACATGTCTCGATTTCGCGTAACGCATCGAATGACAGTTCCCGGCACGTGTCATTTTTGGAAAATGGTAAATTCAGTACAGGCATTTTCAGCCAATTGTTGAGCTTACTTCCACTTCGACTTAAAATGTTTGGTGAAGAGAGAGTGCGGATTCCCCTTGGCCATTTGTCAATTTGCTTAACTGAAATATCTTTGCTAACACTATTTCCGAGGCAATCTCCTCCGAATTGTATGTCAAAAGAGAGAATGCCAAAAGCTCTACCTCTCTCCGTCTCCGTATCTCTTCCTCTGTCTCCCTCTCTCTCGATACGAGGTTCGAGATTCTGGTGATCTGGCAAAGGTCACTAGAAAATTGGTTAATGGACGATAAAATCAGCCGATTCTCAGAAATGTAAGCAAGGCCAGCGCCGATTGCGAGGGCCAAGACGGTAATTCGACCTTTGGGGGAGGGCTAGTGAGTCAAGAAGCCTCCTCCTTGGTACATATATATGTACCAAGGAAGGCTCATGCACCGAGCCATCGACGAAACCAGATATACCCTCTGCACCGTAGCAACGACAGGAAGGGGTTGAAGTTAGCCAGTTTTCTACAGACATGATCATATTTCGAAGTATTTTAGTGCTTTGGACTTGGCTCCTTTGTCGCTGTACTGTATCCGTAAGGGTCACCTGATCCCCCGACCTCTTCTTACTCTTTCACTATGACTACTACAACTTTGCCTGTACATTACCAGTGTGAATCAGCACTGATTTGGGAATCATTGCGGTAATGTAAGGTGGCCGGCTGGCTGTGGCGCAAGGAGGAAGGACATTTCGAGTGGGGGGTAAAAGAATCCAATAATTTTCCCTATCATTCTATGATAGAAGTGTATTTAAATGGTATATTTTACTTACATGGGCGTGCCTAAAAAGAGCAAAGCCTTCCATAGCACGACATATCGCATTTCGCCTTTGAACTTCAACGATACATTGGACATCGAATTGCCACGCACAAAGTCTTTCGTCAAGTTCTTCCGTTCTAGAGTAAAATTAAAATAAAACCAAGTTAAAACTTTGGTAATTAAGTATGCATTAGGTTAGTCCTTACATGGTTCCTAGGCGCATA